GAGCGGACAGGAGGAGAGGAGGGAAGACTAAGGGCACTGAGGCCACTCACGGGCGAGAACAACTGCCACTCCAGAGGGAGCTGCTGCCGCTGCTATGGCTTTGGCGGCTGCTGCTGCTGTGGCGGCTGCTGCTGCTGCTACTGCTGCTCCAGCAGGTCCAACTGCCGCAACTCCTGCCGCTCCCGCTCCAACCGCTCCTGCTCCTCGCGCGCACGCTGGCAAGCCGCTTGGTAACGCGTGTCGTGGCGGTGGGCAGGCGAGTGCCCCCAGCTCCAGTCTCCTCAGAACTAGTACCCCCAGTACACGTGTCCCCAGAGGGGGTACCACCAGGGTCAGGGTCCCCAGCTACAGCGCCCCCTGTCCTAGCACCCCCTGTGCCAGGACCTCCAACTCCAGCACCCCCAGATTTAGCACCTCCAGTGCCAGCACCTCCAGCTCCAGCACCCCCAGAACTAGCACCTCCAGTGCCAGCACCTCCAGCTCCAGCACCACCAGAGCTAGCGCCACCTGCGCCAGCACCCCTCGAACGAGCACCACCAGACCGAGTACCGCCAGTGGTTGCACCTCTAGCTCACAGTAACCGAGCCCACAATAACCTATCACGGAAGTACCGAAGGCTCCTGAGGGGACTGGGAGGAGGACTCCGGGGAGGGAGACACTACCTGACGCGCGACCGAGGGTAGAGGGGTAGCGTGAGACACACCTGACGGGGCAGGACCAGGGGGGGGTGGGGGTACTGGAGGAGCGGGAGCAGGGGGAAGAGAGGGTGCAAGGAAAAGGGGGGGAGGGGGAACCGGGAGACCTCGACAGGGGTAGCGAGCGTAGTAGGACAAAGACTCGTTGAACCGGACGTCACGGGAGTCTAGGATCTGGTGGAGGGGCGGGTGGTAAAAGGACCAGTCGGCCGAGGCTACTGGGAAACCAAGGAAGACACAGGGGATGGCGTGTGCCGAGAGCTTGTCCGCAGAGGTGTCGCGCAAGGCAACCCCAAACTCGAAAGGCCGACCCAACACCAGGGGACCCGGTCCTAAGACTGGTCGGTGAAGCCTCAGGCCGCGAGACGCGCGGCTAGAAGTTTAGCTGGTGAGCGGCGTAGCGAACCGCGTAGGGCCACAGAAAATGGGGCGCATAGGCATGAATCATGGACGTGCGGCCGATGTCCATGACCAAGCCAATGCGGCGCTCAGCAACCCCATTCTGCTGTGGGGACTCCGGCAGCGTCTAGGACTGTACGATGCCCTGCTTGCTGTAGAATACGGCAAGAATGCCTGAGCAAAACTCACCCCCATGGTGAGAGTGGAGACAGGAGATACGACGGCCACGAGTGCCCTCAGTGTCTAGAAGCCACCGGATCAGCGTAGAAGTCACCTCAGACTTCTTCGCGAGAGGAAACACCGTGGTGTACCTGGAGAAGTCGTCGACGACCACCAGAAAGTAGCGCTCCCTCTCAGGTTCCTGCATAGGTGTAGGGCCCCAGACATCCAAGTGGAGTGTCTGGAAGGGAACCGTGGCCGGACGAAGGGAGGAGGAGTGCGGAGTGGCACGAAGACGGCCAGCGACTCAAGGAGTGCACGGCGATGCAGGCGAGGGAGGGAGCGATGGGAAGACGCTAGGGAGACTTGAGACAAGACAGTGACTAGCCATAGTGCAGAGGTGGGGGATCGACGGGTGGCCAAGACGCTGGTGCCACAAGACTGTCCGGTGGGTGAAAGACCGACACGAGCAAGGCGCAGCAACCTGACCAGACGCGACAACATGAGGAGACACAGCAACCAGACCGGACTCGACTCCTGGCGGAGGCGCAGGAACCTGGGGGGACGCAACGCCCGTGGCGGACGCGGAAACCGGGGAGAGCTCGGTGTGGAGGATGTAGAGACTGGAGCGCGGCTCCCTGGTGAACATGGCCAAAACTCTGCCAGTGACAGCGTCCGTACAGACTACAGTCCGCCCACCCCCCACAAAGGTAACGGTGATCCCTCTGTCCTGGAGGTATCCAACACTCACCAAGTTCCGAGTGAACGAGGGGATATGGAGGCCGCGCAGGATACCAGAGGGGACCACAGGGCATGGGAGGGTGGTAGAGCTGCGTGCTACGGCTGGTCATGAGGAGGGATCAGCCAGGGCTACTGGTACAGGAGCAAGGAGCGGTGTGAGTGTCGTGTGATCGCGGAAGAAGCACTATGACGCGCCATAGTGTAGCGTGAAGGACAGAGACGCCACTGCCTATGGTGTACCCGGTGTGGAAGCTACACAAGCACCTAGAGCAGAAACACAAGCACCTAAACTAGAGAGGCACAAGTCTACGCAGGAGGTAAGCAAGCTAATCTACGAACACGCGAGCACACATATCCATCAACACTATAGTCAACATCAGCATACAAAGCATACTGACAAGCATCATCCATAGTTTGATCAAAGACAGGAATCTTACGGGCTAACAGGCGAGCCCAGCGTGGAGTGGTCGCCTTAGGGCCCCAACAGGCACGGTAGAGGTCGTCGAGGCGGCGGAAGCACCGCGCGGCAGAGTGGTCGTCGCGGCTGCAGACACAGGGGCTGCCTGGTCCGGTGAGGCACCAGTGGTCATAGGGGCCGGTGTCATGGCAAGGGGGGCGAGGGGCCCAGCTAGAACTGCTGCTGCTGCGGCCGGTGCCCCCGGGTCCTCCCGGACCCCACTGCGGTTGGGGGGCCCAGTGCTGCTGCAAGCCCCACTGCAGTGGGGGCCCCCAAGGGGCTGCTGCTGCTGCTGCTGGTGTCTCTGCTGTGGCTGGTGCTGCTGTGGCTGCTGCAGAGTTTCGACACCCCCGCCAGTCGGAACACCGCCAGTAGGCGGGCCTGTTTGTCTTGCACCTCCTCCAAGGCTCCCTCCTCCTGGTGCACCACCGCTGCCGCCGCCACCACCATCGCTCCCAGCTCCACCGCCACCTCCACCACCTCCTCCACCTCCCTTCCCGCCCTTCTTGCCACCCTTGCCCCGTTTCTGCCAGTCAGCGGCAGAAACGGCAGCAGTGTCCTCAGAAACCGGCACAGTAGCAGAAGCGCGGGTAGCAGTGAAAGTGGGGAGCTGGGGGGTGGCACACCCCGCAAAAAGACGGGGGGGCACTGCGTCAGTGGCGGAGGCAACAAAGAGGAGGTTAATCTCAATGTTCCCGAGAGCAGTCTCAAGGAGATCGATAGTAAGCTCAGTGGGGTGCTTCTGGGGAAGCACGTTGCGGGCAGTAGCGAGGCGGTCAGGGAGGCGTGTGACTAACCAGTGCACAGTGAGCCACATGGGTGGGGGGGCAACAAGAAGCTGGGCATCGGTGCAGGCCGCACGGAAACCGGCGTCAAGCGAACGCAGGTTAATCACAAGGTCGGACACAGCCGCAAACGAGCCAAGGTCGGGGAACACGAACGGCATGAGGAGGTGACTGAGGGAGGCAGAGGAAAGGGTGGAATAGCGCGCAACAACAGCATCCCAAATCCCCAGCGCAGTCTCGACTTGAGCAAAATGGACTGCCTCAGTCGGTGGAAGGACCTCCGTCAGCGCAAGAGCAGTGGCAGCGTCGCGACAGTCCCACACGTCTCTCGCCAAGACACGACAGTCGTAGTCCGCGTGCTCCGCAGGAGTCGGCTCCGGGTCTGTCGGGAGGGGGTCGAGGGACAAGGGCGCCTTGAGGGCACCCGACGCGTGGGCCTACAAAGTGGCGCCGTCCTGACGCTGACTGGTGAGGTAGCGCGTGGCCTGGCACTGCCAGGTACTGAACTCGATCAGGCGTCCCTCCGCATCGAACCAAAGGCGACAAGACTCCATACTGGAGGCTAGGCTAGGGGCAGTTGGAGCTCGGAAGAGTCGGAGCTAGGAACGAGGAGGAAAATGGAGGAGCGCCAGGTGTGATGAGGCAAGAGACCGGCGGAGCTAGTGGCTAGGAGCACGGAGTGACCTAGGCTAGGCGTGAAACGGCGAGGAACTCCAGATATGGGCGCTAGAGGCGAGGAGCTAGTGACCACACGGCTCTAACCTAGGTGACCGGCGAGAGAAGCGGCTGCCAGCCGCTGAACTAGAGACCATTGGCAGTAAGAATGGTTGGGGCTCAGCGAACAGGGTGGTGGTGGGGAGAGGGACGAGTGCCAAGTGTGGGTGGGCGTCGGTAGGGCCCAATCTAAGGCAAGGGCGCGGGCTAAGACGCGGGCACGTGGCGCGGGGTAAGGCGCGGGCTAAGCCACAGGCTCGGGCGCGGGCTAGGCACGGTCTAAAGCGCCAAGCATGGGCTAAGGAGAGGGCGCACGGCTCAGGCTCGGGATGGAAGGTGCGAGAGGTGCGGAGGCGTGCTAGGCGGGCGGAGGCTCCGCGACGAGCTACAGCAGGGTGCACGGGGCCCGCGACGAGGTAAAGCAAGGCGCACGGGGCCCGCGACGAGCTAAGGCAGGGAGCACAGGGCCCGCGACGAGCTAAGGCAGGGCGCACGGGGCCCGCGACGAGCTAAAGCAGGGCGCACGGGGCCCGCGACGAGCTAAGGCAGGGCGCACAGGGCTTGCGACAAGCTTAGGGCGGAGGCACGAGACGGAGGGCACGTTTCGGAGGGCGCGTTTCAGAGGGCGCGGAGGGCGCGACGAAAAGCTAGAGCGTGGAGGCGCTAGAGTGCGAGCTAGGCTAGTCTAGGCTAGGATACTATACCTACTCATGATACCATCTTAGAAGTAGAGTGCAACGGAATGTCGAGAGCAGTCAAGCAAGGGAGTACAAACATGACAGCCTAATTGAGTTGTACTCACTACACAGCACCTCACTGCAGACTAAAACAAATGTGAACATTTGATAATAGATAGAGATGGTTGTGGCAATGAAGGCCCTTGTCCCCATGAAGCAATCACAGTTGATGTATAAGTTTATACATATAAAAACAAACAAGTTAACAAACAAAAACATCAAACAAAATCTAAAAAAAAAGGATAAACAAACAAACAAACCAACCAACAAACAAACAGATGAGCAAGCAAACAAACAAACAAACACAAACAATTCATGCCATCTTCTCCACCATTTTTGCACATACGTATTCGTCCTGACAAGTAGATATTTTAAAACCTGTTCTCAGCCTCTGAATATCAACCGAGAACGAGGACTTTACTGTTCCCAGAAAAACATCGGCCAACGCACAGACTGCCTTGTCAAGGAAGACCTTGAGCAACGCTTGGTTCTGAAACCGAAATGGTTCAAGCACCTTCGCCCAAGGCTGCCCTGTCAGCTCCTCCGGCAGTTGCACAATCTCCACCCCTGGCAGATGGCCCCAAATAACCCGTTTCAGCTGCCCTACCTCCTGCTTGTCAGCATTTGACGCAAGGAACACCACGGAAATATTTCCCAACTGTGCCATCCTCTCCGCAATGCATCTTCCCGAGTTTTCCACTGTAAGAAACTCCCGAAGCTGTGGATAGAAACTCAGCAGATCCCCCCGCCTCCAGTGCACAGCCAAGTACTGCTGCGGCTGCCTTTGCTCCCTCCCAGTATTCTTCCTGCTGGTCGCAGCACCCTGCTGCTGGGCTGCACCGGCCTCTGTTGCACTTTGCTTGGCGAGCCCCGCTGCAGCGACAGCAGCGGTGAAAAGCATTGGGGTGGCATCGGCTGCTGCTGTGATGCCCTCCTTCAGTGCGTCGTCAGGCGAAAAGGCAGTGGAGGAAGAGGAGGAAGGCGAAGACGAGAAGGAGGTGGAAGAGGAGGAAGAGGAAGAAACAGTGGAAGAGAAAAAGGAAGAGGAGGTGCTTGGCGGTTTCCAGATGACCTGCTGCACGAATCCCAAGGCTGCTTCCAGCACTGCTGGGTGCGGCTGCACTGCAAGCCGATTCGCACACACAAGACTCTTTGATCCACCACCACTACCCTCAAACGGCAGACCCACGTCCTTGCCGAGGTTGTCCCCGAGCCTCCACGGGTGGAAGTCCCCAAACATAACGACGTCAGCAGACGGCAGGAGGACTCTTCCCAGAGAACGGAGATCCGAGACGGTGAATAGGTGGGAAAGAGGCATGTTGAGAGCAGTCCATGTCGTGTTATGGTATACCACACCCTCTAGTTCCGGAAGCAAATAAAAATCGTTTCCCCATGGCTGCGTGTTACAAGCCTTGTATGGACACACCACCTGTTGCACCATCACCACACCTTCCACCTTACTGCCCTCCTCTCCTTGCCTCTCTTCTGCGCTTCGTCCGCCCCTGTTCGCACTTCCCCGAACCTCCTCCCGAAGCTGCTGTAGCGGGATGGTAGAGCGGGGCCCATAGCAGCGGTGCAGGTGCGGCAGGTGCAGGAAGGTGCGGCGGTCGTAGGAGTGGGCGACTTCGTCGGTGTTTAAGGGCACCACGAGCGTGCGGTTCAAGGCACCTGCCAGGAGCAGATGCCGTCGGATGCACGCTATGCGGTTGCTCACCTGGAGGAAGGTGAGTAAGGGAGGCACGGGTGTCGGGGTATGCGTTGGTGTCGGGGTATGCGTTGGTGTTGGTAAGAGTGAGGTGAAAGTGGGGTATATTAGGGACAGTAGGGGTCAATAGGAGTAGGTGGGGGCAGGTTGGATCAGGTGGCACTAGTAATGCAGCCCCTAAACCGTAGGTACAGTCCCGAGCACAACAGTTTGACCAGAAGGAAGAAAAGGGTCTGGGTAGCGGGGGAGGGAGAAGAGGGAAACGGCAGGGTTGATGGAGGAGGCGAGAGCATGGCGACTGTAAAGCAACTTCATCCCAACCCATTTAACTCCATCCAGCCCCATCCATTCCCGCCCAGCTCAACCCCACCCAATCCAATCCCACTCAACCGCATCCAGCCCCACCTGGTTATGCTGGCAATCCATGAGAATGTACTTTCCAGGCTGTGGCACCCACGCAAGGGCGCCTTCCTGGAAGGCGCTCTCCCAGAGCCACCTGCGGAAAAGCCACTTGGGGAGAGCGCTGCAGCGGCCCTGCGCGTTGAGCGTCTTGAGCTGCTGCTGCTTGCGCTCGTAGGATATGTCATAGCCCCTGGATGGATGGGGGGAAATGTAGTGGGTGTGGGAGTGGGAGCCGGCATGAGAATGGTACTTGAGTCGACTCAGAGTGCGTGTTGCTACTGCTTTGTCCTTGGAAGATGTGACATAGCCCCTGAGGTGATGATCCGGTATGGTGGGGAGAGTACTAGCAGCACGGTGGGAGTCGCGAAAAAGGCAAGCCCGCAGGTTCGGTTAGAAAACCGACATTATGTTACACGGGGGATGGGGTTGCCACTAGCAAAGTCAGCACCACAGAAGCCTCCAACGGCCTAGCTCATCCGTTGGAGTCCAAATGGCGTTCGGTAAAAAATAAAGGTCAATGTCACGAACAAGTGACATGATGTCGTGACTTTCAGGTGACGTGACGTCTCAAAACCTTCACTAGCACAGACTCTGTTATTCCTCACCATTCCTTACCACTCTTGCCGAATCTCTCCGGTGGAAAAGTTTCCCTTCCCTTCTCCTCCCACTCCAACTATTGTTTCCATTTCCTCGCCGCGACCTCCCCCCGCGACCCGCCGGAGAGAGGCTCTCTCCCCCGCAACTTTTGCTCCCCCCACGAGTTCCGTTTCCATCTCCTCCACTCGCCCGACCGTCTCCCCCTCGCGTTCCGCCACCAGTCTTCGCAGATCGCTGTCGCCTTCTCCGCCCGGCGGAACGCCGAGCGGAAGATGTGCCGTTGCGCCCGCGTGGTGCACCAAGAGGAGAAAGAGCCCGCTTTCCGCCAGGAGCCAGAGCACCCATGCTCCTCCGCCGCAGTTTCCGCGTGCCCGCATTGAGCGCATCCGCCGTGCTAGTACTCAAAATCGAGATTACATGCCTGCCCAACCAACTCTGTGCGAAAGGTACCTCACGGTGACGAAAGCGAACTGGGCGAAGGGATGTTTTCGGACGAAGTTACGGTGACGGACAGTCCGGAATGGATCTTGCCGAACTCATTTCTAGCCGAATCAAGATTCCCTCGACTTTCGGACGGAAAATGGGCCGTTCGTCTACACCCTGATGCTCACTCAACCGCACTCTGAACATGCCCATGGGCATGCACTGCCACTCCATACGCCCAATGGTCGACATTCACAGCCACTGGCCCGCTCGTTACTGGCCCACGACAAAACCAGGATATTCTTGACCTCGAATAAGTTACTAGAGTTTCCCAGACAAAACAAGCTGGGCTACCCACAGTTATGGCGCCTGTTCTACATTCAGTCCCAGTTTGCCCCTCGCAGGCAAGTGCACGAGAGAGGAGCCCAGGGAAAGATGGGGAACGGGACTGAAATAGGCATCAGGTGTACTATGAAGGAACGACGTCCGGTGAGACCAAGTTTCAACTTGTTGATAGATTCAAAATTTGCTTGCAAGGCAGCCAGGTCAGCTCGGCCCAATAGGTGATCAAATCGAAAACCTGCCTCTTGCTGAGCAAGACAGCATCAGAGACTTCATAAGACCAGCATGATTCTGTACATCTCCTTGCACACTAATCTAGGTGGCCTGGCAGACTCCGAGTCGGGCCGCATGCTAGGGTGCCTTGATATCTGGCGAGGCGAATCAACGGCAAAATTACGCAACACGCCGGCGTGAGAACGTTTTTTAAATTCAACGACCAAGCTCGCACCGCAAGTAGGGTGACCAAGCCCCTCGCAAATGAATCGATCTACAAAATAAACGCGATATTGACAGCCAGTAAATAAGAATTGATGGTCTTCCTAATTGTCACCGTTTCGCGTGGGATAATGTTTGCCAGGTGGTTTTCGTGTTTTCATAAAAACAAGGTCGCAACTGTGGCTACATTGAGAAGATTAGAACGAGAATGATGAACTATGAAATGAAGTGAGTACAAATATGAAACCCTAATTGGTTGTACCCCCTATGGGATTCCCCACTATAGCCTACACAACAGCATAAACTAGAATGTTCTAACACACCCCTATAAGCAAAGTGGGGGAGAACAAGGGGTCACAAGACCAGTCAAGCAAAGCAAAGCAAAGCAAGCTCAGGGTGGATCACAAAGTCACCACACAGTCCGAGCACAGGGTCAAGGCCACACGGCCAGTTCACATGCAAGAGTACACACATATATATAAAGCTAGGCAAGTAAGAGCAGGTATATATATATGTGAGAGTACAAGCAAGGTCAAGAGGAGAGCAAGTGAGGCAAGACGGGCACAAGACCCAGCTGAGTGCAGAAGCGCTGATGATCACAAGGCGCAAGTGCCTTGGTGAAGACATCAGCAGTGTTGGCCTCAGAGGCCAGGTACGCAAGCCGCAACTGTCCACGCTGCTGTAGCTCACGAGCAAGGAAGTAGCGGAGAGCAATATGCTTTGTTCTGTGCTCCAGTCGCTGCTCTCGACACAAGGCCAGCATGGCCTTGTTGTCTACGTACAGGACTGGAGGAGAACGAGGCGGCTCTCCAAGGTCGGTCAGCAGGTAGGTGAGCCAGCGAAGCTCCTATGCAGCCATGGCCCCGGCGTAGATCTCAGCCTCACAACTGGAGCCAAGAACAGAAGACGAGCGAGTAGCCCGCCACGAAACAGAGCTGGAGCCAAGGCTGAAGGTGTAACCCTGTGACGATCGCTGCGTAGCCTGGTCGTCAGCCCAAGAAGCGTCCGCGTGCCCAGTGAGGACCACTGGACTCCGCCCTCCAAGCACTAGCCCCATGCCCGACGTACTGCACAGGCAGCGCAACACCCTCTTCGCTGCAGCCATGTGCTCTGGTCGGTGTCTCCCAGGAGCAACATAGCGTGCGAGAATGCTAAGAGGGTATGCAAGGTCAGGTCGTGTGCAGGTCATCAGGTACATGAGGCAGCCAACAAGCTCTGGGTACGGGCCACTCGACTCTACGGACTCATCCGAAGGCAGAGCTGAGAGCGAGTGGCGAGTAGACAGAGGAGTGGCCTGACGCGAGGAGTACGTGAAGCCGAAGCGCTGAAGGACCTGCTGCACCATGTGTGACTAAGTCAGGGTAATGGTGCGACGTGCTCTGTCCCGGGTGATCTGCAAGCCAAGGTAGCTGCGCAGTTCACCCAGGTCTGTGCACGTGTGTCTCTTCTGCAGTTCGGACTTCACGTAGGCGAGTCCAGCAGTGTCAGCTGTGGCAAAGACCAAGTCGCCGACGTACACGAAGATGTAGAACGGCGGCAGAGAGGTGTCGGTGCGCAGAAACAGCGACGGGTCGGCAGTAGAAGGAGCAAACCCAAGAGCCGCAAGCGTAGTCCTCAGTGTGTCGTGCCACTCACGTGGCGCCTGGCGGAGACCGTAGACTGGACGCCGGAGACTCCACTGGGTACCAGGAGGGAAAGACCCAGTGAAGCCAGGTGGGCGACGCAGCCAGATCTCCTCGTGCAGGCTGCCCTGCAAGAAAGCTGTGCTGAAGTCAAGAGAGTGCAGCTCGTAGTCCCGGTGAGCAGCAACGTGCAGCAGTACCCGAAGAGTGGTCATCTTCGGGGTGGGGGAGAAGGTCTAAAAGTAGTCAACACCCTGCCGCTGACTGAAGCCACGAGCCACGTAACGCGCCTTGAAGACAGGCGGAGAACCCGGCGGCCGCTTCACCCTGAAGATCCACATGCCACTGACGATGTTCGCCCCAGAAGGGGGGACAGCGTCAACGTAGGTGCTTGTGGATTTCCAGGAAGCCATCTCTGCATCCATAGCTGCCTGCCACTGAGAGGAGTAGGGACCCTCTATCGCCTCCGCGTAAGAGCGCGGAGTCGGGATGTCAAGTGCATCCGGGTCTCCCTCAGGGGTAAGCAATACGGACACGAGATAAGGTGAAGCAGCTGCCAGACATTGGAACTCCTCCTGCCTGTCCTCAAGGACGTCCGTGCCAAGGGCACACTCACCCCCGACGGACGGAGGACAGACAGACTCAGACTCAGCGACAAGACTAGCAGCGTAGTCTAAGCGACAACGAGCAGCAAAGTCGACGAGCTCAGTAACGAGAGCACACGCAGCAGTAGACTCGAAAGAAGGGTCAGTGAAAACAGTAGCAAGGAGATGCATGACAGTAGGACTGGGAGCACGAAGAGAGTCCGACTCAGGGTCGGCAAGTGCTGGAAGAGAGGACTCAGGAGGGGAAGGCAAAGGGGCACGCAGAGGAGCAGTAGACGGACGCAGAGACATCCGGTGCGTGCCAGGGACAGGAGGAGGACGCTGGCGCGAACCGCGACCACTAGCGCGAGCAGCTCTAACAGGCGACGCAGGGCGAGACGCAGGCTCACGACGCTCAGTAAGACCTCCAGTAGGACCAGCGTAGGGAGAAGGAGCAGGCAGAGGGGAGGCAGGCTGTAGCTGTGACTGTGACGGGACAGGCTGTGGACACTCTAAGGGAGGAGGAGGACCAGTAGAAGGAGGAAGACCAAGAACCTGGTGTAGGAGTGGAACAAAGTACGGTCGAGGCCGCGTGACGACGCCTGAAGCAGCAGGGACAGCACCAGTACCCTCTGCAGGAGCACCCGCTCCAGCAGCACCTCCTGCAGCACCAGGAGCACCCCGAGTAGGACCGCCAGCGGTAGTCTCAGCGCCAACACCCTCAGCAGCACCAGCTCGAGTCGAACCCGCAGGCGAGTAGCTCCAGTTCTCCCAGTACGAGCACCTCCGGGACCCGCGACCGCAGCACCCTCAGCAGCCCAAGAACCTCCCGCACCAGCAGTATGGCGCCAGCGCCGGGCAAACCACTCGCGCAGCTCCTGTGGAGAGAGTGGCTCCCGGCGAGAAGAAGCACCCGGAGAACCTCCAGGCGGAGCACCTCCACTCTCAGCACCCCCAGGCGTAGCACCTCCAGGCTCAGCACCCCCAGGCGTAGCACCTCCAGGCTCAGCACCCCCAAGCGTAGCACCCCCAAGCTCAGCACCCCCAGGCTCAGCACCCCCAGACGCAGTTCCCCCAGGCTCAGCACCTCCGGACTCCGCACCCCCAGGTCCAGCACCCCCAGGCTCAGCACCCCCAGTAGCACCAGAGTCACCATTGACCTCGACAGGTTCGACTGCGTCTACCTGGGACACACCTTAAGGGGCAGGACCCTGAGGGGGGAGGGAGTCTAGCTGGGGGGGACCTGATACAAGGAAGAGCGGGGGTGGGGGGAGGGACGGAGTGCGGTAGGGGAAGAGGCGGTAGTAGGGGACCGACTCGTCAAACGTGACGTCCTGGGAGGACAGAACACGTCGAGAGGTGGGGTGGTAGAACTGCCACCCAGGCGCGTCAGGGGGGAACCCCAGGAAGACGCAAGGAGTAGCACGAGGGGACAGCTTGTCCGCAGACAAGTCGCGGACAAACGCCCGAGATCCCCAGACCCGGAACGCAGACGCATCGCCAACCTTCCCCGTCCACAGTAAGGCTGGGGTGGAGGTTGATCTGATGCGCCGCGTACCTGACCGCAAACGGCCACAGAAAATGGGGGGTAGCCGCATGCATCATAGACGTACGAGCGACGTACATGACCATGCCAATGCGGCGCTCAGCAATCCCATTTCGCTGCGGTGAGTCCGGAAGCGTGAAGGTCTGACGGATGCCTCGTGCGCGACAGTAGGCTCGCAGTAGGCCAGAGGAAAACTCTCCGCCTCTGTCCGAGTGCAGACGCAGAACAGGGAAGTCCGAGCCAAAGCTCCGCCTGAGCTGGAGACGAGCCGCACGGATCCAGTCGATCAGCACCTCAGTGACATCACCCTTGCTACGCAAGGGGAAGACCGTGGTGTAACGCGTGTAGTCGTCAACAACGAGCAGGAAGTAGCGCTCGTTACCCCGTCCAAGGACGCGGGCCGGGCCCCACACGTCCATGTGAAT